TCCTGCCACCGGACCGATGTGCTGAGCTGCAGGGCAAGGGCAGCCCCCAGGCTGTTGTTCCCCCAGGTGATGGAGAGCTCAGCTCCCCCCATCCACCCATTGAACCCTCCTGCTCCCATCAAGCCTGGGCTACAAAACCAGAGCTTCTCGCTGGGGTGGCAGCTCCTGTGTGCCTGTGGGGTAACTGTATCTCCAATACTATTGGGAGCATTGGTCGGTGCACGATACAGCCATGCCACCCCTTCCACTGCCCACCCATCCCAGCAACTCCTGCAGGTCCTGGAAATGCTCCTCTCTGCATTTCCAACGCAGCCACTGCGCAGCCCAGAGCAGGGAGTGGCTGGGGCACTGGGGACAGCAACACACGTCACTAAGGTCACGTCAAGAACGCCAGGAAGAAACCACCACCCCAAAAGCAAACAGCTAAGGAGCACTAGGGAGATGGACCCAACCACCATTGCTGCAGGTGAGCTACGAAGAGCCTTTTGCTGTGGCACAGCAGAGCCCTGTGAAGCCTCAGCCCTGGCGCGCTGGAGCTGTGTGCTCGTCCATGCAGACACAGCCAGAACCGTGTGTCCCTCTGCCAGATAGGCAGCTGAAGCCCTCAACTGACCCCAGCCTGGCTTTGCTCCCATCCCCGCGGGCACTCACCACGCCATTCTCAACACAGAAGCCCAGCTGGTACTTTGAGTCAGGGCGCCGGATGACAGCCGTAGTGACAGGGGGACAGTGCACGATATTCAGCGTCACCTCGGTCTGGTGCTTCAGCTCCTGGAAGGTGGAATGGGGTTTTGTCAGACTTTGGAAAGCTATTCGGCATGGTTGAGAGGAGCCACACAGTCACGTTGCTCACAGGAGGGCTGAGGATTAGCAACCTGTTTTCAATGGGGAAACTGAGGCACACACAAGGATACTGCCATGGTCAAATTCATGGAGAACTTATAAATCCTGTTCAAAACAACCCACTCTGTCCCTGAGGCCACGCTGTCCTTGCTTTCAGCTCCTTCCTGCCCGGGAGGTAGAAGATACAACAGGTTCCCTCCAGGACAGGTGCCTGCCTCCTCACCCACCCTCCTCCTCGGGCAGGGCCCTGCCTGTACCCTGCCACAGCAAGTTTAGTCCCCAGCTTTGTCCCTGCCTTATTACATCCCCTTCTCCCAAGCACTCAGAGCAGGGACTGCCGCAGCCCACAGGACAGGTATTGCCCACCCCCTTCCCCTGCCCCCTTAACCACCTATCTGTCCCCAAGCCGGGAGCACTGGGGGGACCCCTGGCATTGTAGACACTCCCAGATGCATTGAGGCCAGTCCCCGTCTCTGCCAGCACCTGCCCTCCTGCCAGGGTGGAGGCAGGAGGCCACCCCGGGCACAGCCCCGGCTCACCCGGATGATGCTCTGGCAGGTGGTGAGGGGCAGCCCCACCAGGCTCGTCCCATTGACAGACATGAGGCGGTCCCCGATGCTCAGCTCGCCCGACCGCTCTGCAGGGCCCCCGTGCATCAGGTTGGCGATGACCACTGTGGGCAGGATGGAGCCCCAGCCTGACTCCACGATGGCAATGCCCAAGATCTCCCCCTTCTGCTTCCGGATGCAGACCTGTGGGAGGGCAGATGGGTTACCGTCACCAGAGTCACAGGGCATGTGTCCCAGCCGCAGCACGGGTGTTCTAGGCTGACAGCCAGCTGGGATGGGGCCCAGTTTTGTAGGGAACAGCTCAGCTGCTCAGGGAGCCATGGAGGGGACAACACAGAGGTGCCAGCAGGTACGCCACACTGTCCCCACTCCTCCAAAGCAGCGCTTACATCCTTGCAGTTCTCCTGCCGGGAGAAGTGGGTCAGCTCTGCATTGTATTGCTCCTGGTCCTCGAGGGCACGGCTGTACTGGCGGGGAGTCAGCTCACTTGGGTCAATGCTGTTGGCCTCCAGGAAGCGTTGGTAGGCCACGCCAAATGCCTGCCCGATGGCCTGAGCGATGATCTGGGCCTGGGGAAAGAGGGGTTGTTCGTGCCCACGGCTCAGGACCAATGGTCTCATGGCCAAACTGGAGTCAACAGCCGCCAGGGTCCTGCAATACCCAGCACAGGCACTGACTGGGGAGCTCCAGGGCATCCTGGCCCCTTTCCTGCCTGAGTGGGTCCCTTTATGGTGTCAATCTTCCCCCCTTTTCAGCTGGGCAGAGGTGCTAAGGCTGGGCTCCTTCCTCCTCTCTGTGCTAGTCAGGAGCCCCCAGCACAGAGACTCAGAGCACCGTGTCATTACAGCAGGACAGGGCCCAGGACCCCAATGCCACCCTGCCCTCCCAAGGGACTTGCATGTCGCCTCACGTCAGCTGAGTGGAAGACATGGCAGATCATCTTGTAAAGCCGCTTCTCCTCTGCCACCTCCGACCGCCGAGGCAGTTTCCGGCGTGCCATGAGCACCACAAGGGAGCCGATGTCGGCGATGTAGGAGATGGTCTGGAGGGAGTGATCCATCATGGCTTCCTGGCAAGGGGGACACAGGCAGAGACGTTCAGCCCTCCCTGGCCTGATGGACCCCATAGGCAGCCTGTGAGCCAGCCAGGCACCACCGCAGGAAGGAAAGGTTTCGGTTTAAACGCCACCGTGCCAGGACACAGCTCAAATGCCTGGCATATGTTGGGGAGAAAACATGTCTACGCTAAAAGGTACAAACAGCTCCTTCGACCCAGGACTCAGCTGTGTCCCTGGGTGCTGCTGGGGGACAAGACAGCTCTTCCCTCTTACTATAAAGCAGCAACTAATCCTGACGCAAAGAGTTACAGAAATTTCAAGCCTAGGTTCCCTGGAGATTGGTCTGGGAACCCAGCAGCTCCCACAAGGTGCAGTTTGCATGAGAAGCCTCATGCAGCCACGCAGAGAGCCAAGGGCCACGACACGCCTGTGTGGGATGGTTGTGGAGTGACATGTCTCCTCCCAGACATGTGTCCTTGCCCATAGGCCATCCTTGGCCATGACTTCACTGGTGTGGGTGCAAAGCAGAGATCCCAAGGCCAAACAGCAAGGTTTCAGCAGCCCCAAAGCCATGCAGATGCTCCCGTTCCCTGCTCACCTGCGTGTCAGCTGTGAGTACCTTGATCCTCTGTGTGGAGACAAACAGATCCACCTCCGTCATGGGCTGGGACTCTCCCTCCGGTGCCTGTAGAACAAAACGCCCAGGAGAGGTCACTGCTGCTGCCAGGAGTCCTCTGGGTCCCTGCCCCATTGCTGAAGGTCACCCTGGGCAGGTCCTGAGCACTGTCCCATACCCACAAGGGGCCAGGCTGTGACAGACTGGTGGTGGTCATGCCCCCCTACCCTCCTGCACCTTGATCCTGTCCACCGCCTCTTGGGCCTGCGCCATGCGGACACTGGTTGGGGGGTTCCTCTCCGAGACCAGCTGCGTGGAGCCCAGGTACTTTGCCACAAAAATCACACCGTCCAGCAGATCCTCTGGGTCACACGGTCCTGGAACTGAGGTATTGGGAGGGACTAAGCAGGGGCTGGTCACCCCCCACCTCTAAAAACTGGGGGTACCAATGCCTACTCCCCATTAGCTGCATTCCTACATGTGGCAAAGCAACTCAGGGCTTGGGAGACAGGGTCCTGGCATCACCAGGGGACCAACTCTGATCTGAGGCTGCTTCCTCCTTCCCTTGGGCACCCCCTGGCATCCCTCTTTCTCCCTTGCCAAGGCTGAGCATTCCCCCTCCCTGATCCCCGAAGCACCCCCATTTGCTCAGCAAAGGGTGAGCTGGGATTGAACAAGCCACCCAGAGTCTGCAGCCACATTACCAGCCTGCGTGGGTGCAGAGCTGGATCCTCCCTCCCTGGTTGGGACCCCTGGCCACCCCGCTGCATTTGGGATTAGAGCAGGAGGCGATGGGTCAGGTCTCCTGGGTGCTCCTTACTGCTCGAGCACAGAAGCAACTCACCCTCTTTGAAGGCAGGGCAGGAAGACGGGGGTTCCCTGTTCTGCAAAGCAACGAGAGAGCAGGTGAGGCTCTGGCTGGGATCCCAGGGATCCAGCCTGCCCACCCCATGGTCAGGCTGCCCCTGGGGCACCAGGACAGTGAAGGCAGAGCATCCTAAGGCTGGGTGCGGGGTGGGGGGTGCAGGGTCCTAGGGCTGGAGGCTGTTTGGACTCAACAGCCTCTTCCCTGGAGTGTGCACGGATCAGACAACCATGCAAGTATACCCCTGCATTCAGGGCAGTAGGAGCCAAAGCCAGTACCGAGGGTCTTGTCTGGACATCCCAGCAGCATGAGGCCCTCTGTAAGACCCGAGGAAAAGACATCCCTGGCCCCTGTCTGCACCCACCCAAAACCCCACGAGGGAGCAGAGCCAACGGGCACACCCTGGCTTCTGCCACGCCACCGCAGCCCGTGCGCAATGCACTCACAGTCACGCTGCCTTGGGGTGGCTGCTCTGCCTCCAAGGCAGGAGTGGGAGGAAGGGTCACCCAGGCCGGCTCCGGGGAACTGCCCCGATTGCCCTCGCAGGCAGGGTCGACCTCGCTGAGCCCCTCTTGATAATACCAGCCACCAGAAGATCCTTCCTCTGAGCTCTCTGGCCTCCCCAGTCCTTCAGGTGTCTCCACAGCAGCCAGTTCCTCCTGAGCCTGCAGCATCTCCAGGTTGGTCCCAGCCAGGACATCGGAGCGGGCCAAGGGTGTCTCAGCGCTGGCCTCGGGCAGCCCTCCCTCATAGCACAGGAGGCTCAGCAAGTCCTCCCGGTCGGCCTCAGCAAAGAGCAGGCCATGGCAGGGCCGTGAGCAGGCTGAGTGCTGGGCACAGCAGGGCCGTGTCTCCAGGCCTCGGCCTGTGGCCACATGCAGCGGGCAGGGCCGGCACTTGCCCTGGCACTGCCCGTAGCTCTGCCGAGCCTGCTGTGGGGCTGTGCCCGCTGGAGAGGCTGTGCCAGTGCTTGCAGAGGCCAGCATGCCCTGTTCTGAGGCGGGTGAGTGGTCACAGAGGTTGGGGTCGAGGGTTTTGAGCTGGGCCAGCAGACCCTGGATCTCTGAGGGTTCATCCTCTGTGTCCTCGGCCCACTCGGCCCTGCCCAGGTGGGCGCTGGCCTCGGGGGCCTCATCCAGCTCCATGCCCGTCAGGTCTCCACTGGTGAGGGCTCGGGGGTGTCCTGAGCCCTGAGGGCTGCTCCCAGTGATGGATTTCCAGCCAGTGGAGCCTCGCGACCCCGCAGCCCCTGCCTCCTCATCCGTTTCTCTGCCCAAGTCCCGGCAAAGCTCGGCTTGTCCGCCCGCACCTCCTCCAAGGTCCGAGGCTGAAGCAGGCCCCGAGGTGGGCCCCAGAGCCCCCCGCTGGCTCTCGGAGACGGGCAGATCCTGCCCGGAGCCGCAGCCAGAGCGCAGGGTGACAAGGCGAGGCTCACCCGGCTGCCCGGCACCCACCCGGCGCGCAGGGGCGCCGGGCCGCACTGCGGGTCCTTCCTCCGTGTCCATGGCCGGCGGCTCCGGGGCCTCGTCACCGCCGAGATCAGGGGTGGCGGGCGCAGCCGCCTGGAAATCCATGCTGCTCTCCATAGCCTGACTCCAGCCGCAGCGCGGGGAGAGCCCCGGGCGGCAAGAGGGTCCCGGGGGAGGGGGGGGGGGGGCAGGGCCAACCCTGCTGGCACCGGCTCTCCCCACCGGGGCCACTCCGGTATGTGCGGACTCACACGCCGCTGCCGCCGTCCCGGGAGGAGGCGGCCCGCCGCTGCAAAGCTTCCGGTTCCGGGCGGGTACCGCGCACGCGCGGTTCGGCCCCGCCCCTTCCCGGCATGCCCCGCGGCGCCCCAGCATGGCGGCCTGGGTGCTGCTGCGGGCGGCACGGGCGGCGCTGCCGGGCACGGCCCGCGGCTACGCCAAGAAGCCGGGTGAGCCTCGTCCTGCCGGTGCCCCCGGCCCCGGGGCTGTTCCGCGCCTCTCTACCCCCGCCATCGGCCCTGTGTACCCCCGCGTCCCGGTCCCGTGTCCCCCGGGCCCTCCCCGGTGGCAGCCTGGTCCCTCCTCGCGGCACCTCGCCCTGTGTCCCCTGTCTCCGGTGCTGCTGCACCCCCCGTGCCCCTGCTTCCGTCTGTTACACTGCATGCGTCTCTGTTCCCCCCTCACATCCCCGGTGTCTTGACCGTGCCCTTGTCCCCGCAGCTATGAAGTCCAAGGGCAAGACCGTGCCGAAGGAGGGGCTGCAGGCGCCGGAGGTGTGCACGGACCCCGCCATGCTCACCACCTACGCCATGGGGGTCAATTACTTCAAGGACGGGCCGGAGGTAGCCCTGAAGCCCGACTCCGAATACCCTGACTGGTAGGTGGTGCCCAGCTCCCTTTGCTGTGTGCTGAAGGGGGATCCCTCCGGGGCATGCCTGGCCCTGCAGAGGTGCCATCCTGGAGGCACAGGCGAGTATAGGAGAGACAGAGGGCTGTTCTGAGGGTAGAAAAACTGCCTCTCTGCAGCCCAGAGACTTTCCCCAAGGGCTGGGGGAGGAGAGCAGGCAGCACTGTGGATGTGGTGGGTGAGGGATCTGCACATCCTAGTCATGTCTGTTGCTCCATCCTGTGCTTGTCCCTTTGCCCTCCCTGCTGCTGCCTCACATCCTCTGTGCTTGCCCCCAGGCTCTTCAAGATCCACCTCGGTCCTCCCAAGAAGCTGGAGGAGCTGGACCCCGACTCAATTGAGTATTGGAGGCGCTTGCGGAAGTACAACACATGGCACCGCAACAGGTTGAAGAAGGGCAAGAAGCTGTAGGCGCTGCAGAACTCGGGATGTGGGGGCCGCCCTGAGTGCCAGCACACATGGCGCTGGGACCAGCTCCTGCTTTCTGTGTCTTCTTCTTGCTGTAAGCTAGTAATAAATCTTCGGTGAGGCTGATACCTGTTAAGGAGGCTGTGGCAAACCCAGGTTCTTGGTGAGCTCGGTGTGTCCCACCTCATGCCTGGGGCTGCTGAGGGGCTGAGGCAACACAGGCCACAAATTCTGGGTGTATTTGCTAAAACAGAAGCTCAGTTTTTTGCTCGTAGAGGGAACCTGCGCCACCAAGTGGGTCCTACTTCCTCTTGTGTCACAGTCAGCGCTGCAACGGCCGGGGCTTAAGGGCCCTGCAGAGGGGGTGTACTGGGTTTGGGGTGGGGAATGACTCCACTGGTGTCGCTGTGTCCCTTCGGGGCGGGCTTTGAGGGCTGAGCAGCCTGTGCTCCCGGGGGGTGCCGGAGGACGGTTCTGCAGGGCTGTGGGCGAGGTGAGGGGTGAGACGGTGGCCCCTTGCAGCACCACCCCCGCGCCACACTCTCGCTTCCTCCTCCGGCAGTGGGGGAGCGGCAGCTGCTGGCATGCCAGGGTCCCGACTTGGCTGGGCTGTGTGGTGAAGGCAGGGTCTTCCACACAGCAGCAGGGGCCTCGCTGCCCTGTCCCTGCCTGTTCTTGGCCAGCTCTGCCCTGGCAGAGCCCAGCAGCTTCCCCCAGGCCTCGGTCCTGCCCGTGTGTTGGGCTCCCCTTGCTGAGGGGTGCCCCTGTTCCCTTGGTTCTTCTCTGTCTGGGACTTGCTGCCCTGCAGCTCCTGCCGGGCCTCGAGTTGGGGTACAGGGACAAAGCAGCCACCTGTGAGGTCCTCCCGCAGCAAGGAAGGGGCCATGGAGCCGCTGCCCGGCCCAGCAGCATCCACAGTGCCCCCTGCCCTGCGGCTGAGGCCGGGGGCTGTGCCCGGTTCCCCCAGGGGCTACGGGGCAGCCAGGCTGGCAGCTGCAGCACCAGCGCACCGCGTCACAGGAAGCGACAGAGGAAAGCAGAAGTGCTGTGCTGCAGCACGGGGGGGCTCGGGGAGATTTTGGGTTGAACCCTCATTTCCTCTGCGTGAGGCTTGGTGTGCACCTTCGGAGCTGACGGGGCTTAGGCCGGGGCGTATCCAGTGGTGAGTGCCCTGTCCCTGCCATGCCCATCCTGCACCTTGCCCTCCCCTCGCCACCCCTCAGCACATCCAACCCCCCAAATCCAGCAGCAGGTGAGCAGAGGGGTCAGCTGAGTCCCTGCCCTGTGTCTCAGGGACACCCCTGCTTGGGTTTGTGTCACTCAGCCACCACAAATGGCTTGGTCCTGAGGACAAGTGCCCACCTGGGGTGGGTCAGTGGGGAGGGACCCAGGGGGAGGAGGAGGAGGGACCCTGTCCCTGGGTGCTGCCCCTGTGCAGGGTGATTCATGCCATGCTCCCCTCACTGCCAAAGCCTTTGCCAGGGTCAAGGGGAGCTGAGGCAGGTCCCAGCCCCAGGACCCCTATGTACCGCCCCCTAAACCCTCCACGGGCTCCAAATGGTGGCCCAGCAGGGCTTGTGCTGGATCCAGAGCCACCACCCAGGGGGCCCTGGTGATGGCGAGGGGGCTGCTGCCGACCCACTGGGGTATCTGCCAGAAAGAGAGGGGTCCCTGGGCTCAGCCCTTCGTGATGGGCTCTGTTGTCTGTGCTCCCCAAAGAGATGGGGAAGGTGACAGAGGACATGTCCTCTTTCCAGGCCCTTGGAACCCGTCTGGTGAGGGTCCCTGTCCTGGGGCTGGGCTAACGTGGCCCTGGCTCCTTGCCTGAGGCTGGGGGGTGAGTGGAGTCCCCTGTGCCACTGTCACTGCTCTTGTGCTCCGGGCATGGAGGGGGAACTTGCATCCTTCCTGGCTGGCTGCTGGTGGCCAGATCCAGCAGTGCTGCTCGGCCAGCTCCTGGCACCTTCCCGGAGTGGCCAAACCCCTTCTGGGGTGATCCAATGCTGGTGAGGTCATGCTGGTGCTCTCCCTCCTGAGTCACCTTGTGCCCAGCAGTGTCCAGCGGGGTGCAGGTGCCTGTCACCCACTGATGGCTTGTCCCTTCCACACCCGCAGGCAAGAGGCGGCAGGGCTGGGACGGGATGGGGGACTGCAGCATGCCCATCAGCTCACTGGGCGAGGAGGTGGTGGCCCGGCTCTGCGAGCTCCTGGATAACGCCAGTCGGGGCTGGCGCAAGCTGGCTGAGGTGGCTGGGATGGAGAAACGCTTCAAGTGCAGGTAGGGGTGGGAGGGCATCTCTGGGGTTCATCCCCACGGGGTAACAAAATGCCTGTGGGCACAGCCCTGCCATGGGCTGAGTGAGGAATATGCAGGTCCATTGGCCAACCTGTCATGGCCACAGCTTGGGCTGAGGGCACTGCTGAGTACCCCGGTAGGGTTCCCCATCCTCCCGGTGTGGGAGGCTGGCTGCGGTGCTAAGCACTGCGGGTGCCTTGCAGTGCAGAGGAGCTGGAGATGTGCTCACTGAAAGTGCTGGAGCCCCGTGGCAGCCCCACGCAGTGCCTCCTGCAGCTCTTGGCCGAGCGCGACTGCACCCTCAAGTACCTGCTGGGCTGCCTGGAGAGGATGGGGCACATGCAGGCCTGCCAGGTCCTCAGCAGCGCTGGTAGGGACAAACAGCAAGGTCCCACAGGGCCTGGAGAGGGGCACTGGGGGACAGCAGAAGGAAAGCGGGGGGAGATGAAGAGCAGCCCTTCTTGCTGGTGGTCTTGCTCTGGGTAGCAGGGTCCTGGGCAGGATGGGATGGGATGGGATGGGATGGGATGGGATGGGATGGGTGCAGTAGGGTGAGATAGGATGGGATGTGGTGTGCTGGGATGGGGGTGGCGGGCAATGGGATGTGGTAAGACAAGAAGGGATGGAGCAGGGTGGGTGGGATGAGACGGGGTATGATCGGACAAGATGGGATGGGGTGGAGCAAGGTGGGTTGGGATAGGATGAAACTTGATGAGATGGGTGATGGTGGCACTGAATGGGACAAGGTAGGAGGAGATGGTTGGGACAGGACAGAGGGCTGGGTTGGGACAGGGTGTGATAGGATGGGGTGGCATGGGATGTGAGAGGACAGGCTGTTGTGGGCAGGTGTGGGACAGGGTATCATGGGACAGGTCAGGGTGGGACTGGATATGATGGGATGGTGCAGGATGAGGGTCTCAGCCAGCCCAGGCTGCTCTCTCCTCTTCTGCAGTCCAGGACACGATCCGCATCACGGTGCAGCCGGAGTCGCAGGTGGTGATGGAGGGGATGCGGGTGTCCCTGACCTGCTGGGCGACCGGCCCACCAGGGCTCGCATACCAGTGGTTCTGTGGGAAGCGGGAGGTGAGGTCCCACTGTGCCATGTCTAGCAGGGCTCCCAGACCTCATCCATGGCAAGGGCACCGGGATGGGTGGGAGGGGGCCCCCGACTCCTTGGCTCCCTCCTGCCTCGTAGGTGCCTGGAGCCACCGCCCCGGAGCTGGTGATTGATGCTGCCGCCCCACCGGGCCAGCCCAAGTGGTACATCTGCCGGGTGAACTGTGGGGCCGCCTTTGCCTTCTCCAGGTGGGCCCACATCCAGGTGGAGAAGAGCAGCAGTCCTAGCTCAGGTGGGCCCCAAGATCTGTATCCCCAGCTGGCACCCATGGGGCACCACTCGCCCCATTGGGACTGGCCTGGCTCCTGTAGGGCATCACTTGCCATGTTCCACCCCAGTTCAGCTGTAAGGGTCTCTGGCCTTGCTGGGGTGATGGACGAGGCCCTGTGTCCTCCTCGTGCCCTCTGGCTCACGCCACCTGTGGGTGCCAGAGCCTGCGGGTGAGGGACCTGGGGCCCAGGGGCAGCTCAGTGGAGCCCTGCCATGGCTCGTTGCCAAATTTGCCATCCCATCCCCTCCCTAGCCAGCGGTTACTGCCCGACCATGGTGGGGTTGCAGATCCTGCGGCAGCCGCGGCCGTGCCGCCTGGCTGAGGGGGACACGCTGGCGCTGGAGTGCAGAGCCATTGGCAACCCCCCACCCCAGTACCCGTGGTTCAGGAACCGGCGCCCCGTGGAGGGCGCCCAGGCGTCCCAGCTGCAGGTATGGCAGGACCCCTGGCGCGGCACGGCATGGTACATCTCTGCACGGCGTGGCACCCCGCCCCAGCTGCCCACTCTGTCCCACCGGCAGGTGAAGCTGGTGACGACGGCCGAGCGGGGCAGCTACTCCTGCCGCGTGTTCAACCTCTTCCATGAGGTGTGGAGCCAGGAAGTGGACGTGGAGATTGGTGAGGGCCCCAGGCAAACCTCCATGGCCCCCCCCCCCCCGTGTCCTTGCTCTGCTCTGTCCCCCACCCCCCAAAGCCCTCCTGTGGCTGCCTCACAGTTTTGGGGGCTTCAGCCTGTGCTGGCAGGTCCTGCTGTGCACGGGGCTCCCTGACCCCCACTTTGCTGCAGGCCCACGGCTCTTCGCCTCTGGAGGCTCCTGGCAGGGGGGGGGCCGAGGGAAGTGGGGACAGAGCGGGCAGGTCCCCTCTGCTCTGCCCACTGTGCTCCCTGGGCACTGCGGGGCTATGGCATGGCGTTCCTCTCTTTCCAGGCTCTCCAGAGCAGAGCAGCCCCAGCCAGCTGTACGGTAAGAGCCTGCCCAGGAGGGGCTGGTGGCTCTGTGGGGTTGTGACTGTCCCCATTGTCAATCCATGAGGCTCCGCTTGGCCAGGTGTGCTTTGCACGCCTGGGAGAGTGGAGCGGTGAGGCAGGGATGATGACACCAACCACAACCAGGTGTCACCTCTGTTGGTTGAATGCAGGGGGGACAGCAGGAGCTTCCTGCTCCATCCCCAGTGCCTCCCTCTCCCATCCTTGCAGCCACCGACAAAGTGGCCCTGCTGATTGGCAACATGCACTACCTGCACCACAAGCAGCTGAAGGCGCCCATGGTAGACGTGCACGCCCTCAGTGCCCTCCTCCGCCAGCTTGACTTCAAGGTGGTCTCACTGCTGGACCTGCGCAAGGCCGAGATGCAGATGGCTGTGAATGAGTTCCTCCTCCTCCTTGACAAGGGTGTCTATGGTGCGGCGGTACCCAATGGGGTGGCTCCAGCTGGGGGGAATCGGGTGGTTTTGTGCTGGTGGGGTCTTGTGGGGCGGGCGGGCAAGAAGTGGGCACCAGCAGGTCAAGGGATGTCACCCCTCTTTCCTGCTCCTGACAGGTTTGCTCTACTACGCTGGGCATGGCTATGAAAACTTTGGCAACAGCTTCATGGTGCCCATCGATGCGCCCAGCTCCTACACCTCGGCCCACTGCCTGTGTGTGCAGCGGGTGCTGCAGAGCATGCAGCAGCGCCGCACTGGCCTCAACATCTTCCTGCTCGACATGTGTCGCAAGAGGTGACCCAGCCCTGGCCACCAGCCCAGGGACCAGCTGCCGTGCCAGGAGATCCCAGCACAGGGGTGCCCGTGGGTGCTGGTTCCTGGGGGAGCTGAGCAGGGGGTCCCAGGGGTCCCATCCAAACCTCTAGGCTTTGTCTGGATGCCCCAAAGCATCACTGCCCCAGTTGAGCTGGCAAATGCCACAAGGGGTGGGCAGAGGGGCACGGAGCCCCCAGGGACTGGGGTGTCTTGGGGTGGGTTTTGGGGGAGTGGCAGGTCCCAGCTCTGCCTAGCGGCACTTCTCTTGCAGGAACCTCAATGACGACACCATCCCGCAGGTCGGTGCGCTGCAGGTCACGGCCAACATTGTCTTCGGCTACGCCACGTGGGTCCCCTTCCCACCCCTCAGCGCGGGCAGTGGGGCTGAGCCTCCCTCCCTGGTGCAGAGTGGGGCCGGGGCTCAGCCCCCTGCCATGGCTCAGCCCAGTTTGCACTGGTGTCTTTCCCCACCCCATGTATCGGCAGCATCGCTCCCTCTGGTTGGTACTGGAGTTGGTGGACGAGTGGCAGCCCCCTGTCCCTCACAGGGCAGGGAGGTGCCCACAGCACTGCTCAGCTTCAGGCAGCACCTGAGGAGATTAAGCCTCGAGGCTCCTCTGGAGCACAGGGATTTGGGCTGGCAATGATTTAAGCACCCAAGATGCGGTTGTAGCTCTCACCTCTCGCCAGCACAGTGCCTGGATGGGTGGACAGGAGCGGGTAGAGCTGTGGGCTGGCAGCTCTGGCTTCCCCAGGGCTGTCGCCCTGGTGGGGGCTGGTTCCCAGAGGAGTGACAGAGCCCAGGACAGAGCCCACTGCTGCCCTGTCCCCGCAGGTGCGCAGATGCTGAAGCCTACGAGCTGAGCCAGGGAGAGCTCTCCAATGGCATCTTCGTCACCTTCCTCAAGCGCTGGCTGCTGGAGGACGAGAAGATCACGGTGCTGCTGGACAAAGTGGCCGAGGGTGAGTGGGAAGTGGTGTGGGATGGTGACCCCCCCTGGCAGCCCCCGCTGACCCCCCGTGCCCCTTGCAGACATGGGCACTCTGGAGATCACACGGGGCCGGCAGGCACTGGAGCTTCGCAGCAACCTCTCAGAGAGACGAGCCCTGACGGACCCCATCCGCCCTCCGGGCCGGGACGAGTCCTCCGCCAGGAACCTGCAGTGGGCCAAGGCTCACGGTGAGGGACACGGCCACCCTGCCTGGACCTGGAACCCAGGGAGGGGACAGCACTGAGTCGCAGGGAGGGGTGGTGGGCAGCACCTGCTGGGTTTCTCCCACCCTGGGGGAGAGAAACTGCCGGTACTGAGCCACCAACCCAGTAGCAGGAGCATCATGTCGGTGTCCCCACTCCGGGATGACCCTGGCAGTCAAATCACTGGTGGGTACAGCTCTGGCCCTGAGCACCTGCAGGTGCCAGCCCCACGCTCCCTGTCCCCCCGCAGTCCTGCCGGAGAGCCGGCACCTCCGCTTCGACTGTGGCGTCACTGTCCAGCTGGGCTTTGCTGCTGAGTTCTCCAACATCATGATCATCTACACCCGTGTGGTGGCCACGCCAGGGGACATCACCAAGTGCGAGGCCAAGCTCACTGACATCCCCGAGGTGGGAGCAGGTCACCAAAGCCTGCACTGGGGCAATATGAGGGAATAGGGCAGGGGGGGCCGTGGTGGATTTCACAGCTGGACCGCCGCCCGTGGCAGGAGCTGGATGTAGACCTCAAGTGCACTAACAAGGAGAGCCCGGAGGAGGTGGGCAGCCCGCTGGCACCCGCCTGGAGCCTCGGCTGCCCCCCCCGCTG